AAGAGCGAGATTATGGATCTTGTGCGTACTGTTGCCTCCACGTCCCAGCACACCAAAATCGCTGCCAACATGCTGGACTGCGTTCGGGAGTCGGCGTCCCTCAGCCAGCTGACGGCATACTGGCTGTGCTTTGAATTAGTCAAGGCTTCACATGCCGCATCCGAAGACACGGACGCCCTGTTCGATCTTTCTGCATTTACCGACCAGTCGGACGACATTAACCAGGTTTTTAACGAACTTTATGACTTTTCTGTGCAGGTACTGGATTTACACACTGAGATGGCTCAGGTTGACTGGCGCCTGGAAGCCATTGCCCTTGAGATCATGGCTTATGCCGCCCACAGGGCCGGCGAGAACTTTCGACCGGAGCTGGTTGACGTGCTCTTCCCAGTTGCCACGTTTCTGGGTTCGGAGAATGCGAACCTGCAGCAGCATGCCATTGCTACCCTGAACAGCATAGCACTATCATGCAGGTACTCCAACGTTTCAGGACTAATCATCGACAACGTCGACTACATGGTGAACTCGGTCTCACTACGGTTGAACACGCTGGACATTTCTCCAGCCTCCACACAGGTGTTGAGGATGATGGTGCGATTGGCAGGACCTCGCCTTGTGCCGTTCCTGGACGATGTAGTCGAATCGATGTTTGCCGCGCTGGAAAACTACCACGGATATGCCTCCTTCGTGGAGAGTCTCTTTTCTGTCCTGAAAGAGATTGTGGATCAAGCATCTCGAGCGGACGGCCGACTTCTCACCGATGCTGAGATGACTTCCGTCAACCACAAGAAGAAAGCGCAAAAAATGGAAGATTTGGACATGCTTTTGGAGATTCTTGACCGGCGGAAAGAGAGAGAGGAGCGTGATAGAGCCGAAATGGAGGGCTTGGGACCAATAAGTGGGCACCCCGGAGTTCCGTGGACGAGCGGTTTGGTGCATGGACAGGACGAACAAGATGGTCAAGACCAAGATGGACCGCCGCCAGAGGAAGAAAAGAAGCCGAATTCGCCCACGTACCAACTCCTCCAGCGCGTGGCAACCCTCACGCAGCACTACCTGACCTCGCCGACGCCGACACTGCGAAGATCACTGCTGGAACTCATCACCACTGCCTCCTC